ATATATATATATCATTATTATAGTTGCTAAGTTGTAAAGTGTAGGGATTTACAATATGTATTTTTTGGTCCCTAAAATTTAAAACTTGTGTTTTTATTCCCTAAAATACAAAATTATTATTTTGGTCTCTCAAATTTAAAATTTATCTTTTTGATCCTCAAATTTAAAAGATATGTTTTTAGCTCCCAAAATATAAATATTATTATTTTAGTCCCTTTGCTCAAATATTATTAATTAATTTGTCACACAAAATTCATTTATTAGTGCTATTATGAGTGAAAATATCACATTAGACCAATTAATACTATAAAATTATCTTAATCTATTATTGAAAATTATGTCATTATTAATACTATGAAACTATTTTAATTTGTTACCATTGGTAAAAACATCACAGTAGATAAACTAATACTACAAAATTGCTTTAATCTATCACTTTTGATTATGTTATTAGTGGTCTTGAGGAAATAAAATAATATTTTTAAAATTATAAGAATTAAATAACAAAATTTAAATTTGAAACACTAAAATTATGAGGAGTAAAATAATAATTTTTATATTTTGAGGACTAAAAACCCGTATGTTAAGTTTGAGGGACTAAAAAAATATATAGAAGACTAAAACAATAATTTTTTTTTGTAAAATTAGAAAGACTAAGAATATAAACTTTAAATTTGGAGAAAAAAAAGATAGTTATCCTTGATTTAGAGGACTAAAAATATAATTAAACCATTATAATATATAAATGAACTTATCTATATAATTTAAATTAAAAAATAAAAAATATACAATTATGGTAGTTGTTGAATAAAAATACAATTATAGTTTTAAAATATTAATGTGATATGCTCGAAATAAAGAAAAAATATTAAAAAAATAATATTAACTTCTTAAAAAATTTAATATTTAATTTACAGAAAAAATATTTTTAGTTTATAATTTAATTTTGTTTTTATAAACCAATGTAGAAAAATATAATAACAACACTCGTAAATGAATCTGTACAAGAAAATAGGTGAGAGAGGAATAGCTTAGGTGGAGCAAGAAAAGGAGAAAGCAAAAACGACATCGTAAGAGTTAGAGAAAGGCATGTATATATGATTCTATGAACAACACAATAACATGTTGTAAATCTAAATATAAATATAAATATAAATATAAATGTCGTAACATTTTATCCCATTTCCTTCTTCCTCCCTCTTCGCCGGACCACGCCTTCTCTCTATCTTTCTCTGTTTTTTTTTTCTCTGCAACTCAATCGATTAGTTTCGCTTTCGGTAACTTCATCTCTCTCTCCTTTTTCTCTTTCTTCACATGTTTCTATCCAATATTGTATTTTTGTCTTCTTTCTTTCGCTGCGGTTCTGCAAGACTTTGTTTCAATTAGGTTTTGGAGCTGGCAAGTTCCGCAACTACCTTTGTCTTCCGTTGTTGAGATTTTTTCCTCCTTTTGTTTTGGCGCTCCAGGTGTTTGCTCAAATGTTTTTATTTCAATTCTCGATAATTAATTTGTGTCCTGTCCAAATTGCGCTCCATGTGTTTGCTCAAATGATTTTCCGTTTTTTTAGCTGTTGAATATGTTTTCACTAGTTTTTACATGTTCTTAGATTTATTATCATGGCTTGCAGTTTCCTTTCATTATTTTGGCTGCTTCATGTGTCGAGAGATGTTATGTTGCGGTTTCTTGTCCTGCATAATGATGGGATGAAACTCGAAACATTCACATTTGATTATTTCAGTGCATTATTTTAAGGGTGTTACTACTTGTCTTGTTGTCAGCTAATGTGTTTCATTTCATGGTTAAATGCAGCCATCAATTCAGGAATCATGGCTAGGGTTCTGGCTCAGTCTATTAGTATGCCTGGCCTGCTGAGTGGGCAAAGGCATGATCAGCATAAGGGATCAGGAAAACTAAAAAGATCTGTCAAAATGATGAGTAGCTTACGAGTGCCTGCATTAAGAATGTCTGGTTTCTCTGGATTACGTAGTCTTAATACTTTGGATTATCTGTCGAGGCCACGACAAAATTTCCACTCCAAGATGTTGACTACAACTTCTTCTCGCCGCGAAAGGGCGAAACGATGTGTACCTAAAGCAATGTTTGAGCGTTTCACGGAAAAAGCAATAAAAGTAATTATGTTAGCTCAGGAGGAAGCAAGACGGCTGGGTCACAATTTTGTTGGAACGGAACAGATTCTATTGGGTCTTATTGGTGAAGGCACTGGTATTGCTGCTAAGGTTCTGAAGTCAATGGGAATTAACCTTAAGGATGCTCGAGTAGAAGTGGAAAAGATAATTGGAAGGGGTAGTGGATTTGTTGCAGTTGAGATTCCATTTACTCCCCGCGCGAAGCGTGTTTTGGAGCTCTCACTGGAGGAGGCTCGCCAACTTGGTAAATGCTGTTTTACCTTTGCCTGTTCTTTTCTATATGTAATTACTTGGTTGTAAAAAGTATTTGTATTGCATATAACTTTCTTGCTTATACCCTTCTGTCTATTTACTACTAGTTTTCCCTTGTTCTTTTTTTTTTTTTTATAATATTTTTTATTTTGTCATTTTCTGTATGAAAAAAGATAGAAGAGATTTGGTTATATATTGTCTTGTGCCTTTATCTGTTTTACTATAATCAAGGAAGTTTTATTTTTTTATAGAAAACGAACAAATGATAAAGAAGAGGATTTGATAAACTACCCCATCATATAATGTGTAAAGAGAGAAGGAAAGGATCCTGACATTGATTTAGATTTGGAAAGGACTCCAATATACAATTTGGCTTACTCCTTGAAAATTTCAGGTCACAATTATATTGGATCTGAGCACTTGCTTCTTGGTCTTCTTCGAGAGGGTGAGGGTGTAGCAGCACGTGTTCTTGAAAATTTGGGTGCTGATCCAAATAATATTCGTGCTCAGGCTAGTATTATATTTTCATTAATATATTTCTAACATGTTTTATCAATATGAGTATATTTTTATTTTAAATTGTGTAATTCTTGTATTCTCCACTTGATGGTTACAGGTTATACGCATGGTTGGTGAGGGTGCTGACAGTGTTGGAGCTACTGTTGGCCCTGGAAGTAGTAATAACAATAAGATGCCAACTTTGGAGGAGTATGGCACCAATTTGACTAAGCTAGCAGAAGAGGTAATGCCAGTTTCTAGTTTTCTTTATGCCACAGATGGCAGATGAGATTTCATTGTGTAAAAGTATAATTACTTTTCTTACTGACCCCCTCCCCCAAAACAAAAAATTGCAGGGAAAATTGGATCCTGTTGTGGGTAGGCAGCCACAAATTGAACGTGTCACTCAAATTTTGGGTCGCCGAACCAAAAATAATCCATGTCTTATTGGAGAACCTGGTGTTGGGAAGACAGCTATTGCTGAAGGCCTTGCCCAAAGGATTGCAAATGGTGATGTTCCTGAAACAATAGAGGGAAAGAAGGTTAGCAGAAATTATTATAAATTGGTTAGCAGAAATTATTATTTAATTTCTGCTCTATAAATTGGTTGTGGTTGGATTCATTGGATTTACTATTTCATTTGCAGTACAATTATGATGTATAAACATGTCAACTAGCTGGATCAATGTAAAGTGATTCTTAAATAATAGCTCATTTCTCCTAATTTTCATTTGGGGTCTTTTACGAGTTGACTACAGAGGAATTTTCTTGCATCTAGAGTCTAGATAGTTAAACTAGTATTAAAGCATCCTGCCTCATTTTTTTGTCATTTATTAGCCTGATATTTTGTATTTCAGCTTCAGATAAGTATTGACTAATGTTCTTTGATTTTGGGTGTTTAACATACTTTTGGTTTTGGGGGGTTCTGAATGACATGAAACCTTTGTTCTCCGTGAGTTAGGTTATAACCCTTGATATGGGTCTACTGGTAGCTGGAACTAAATATCGAGGAGAATTCGAGGAGAGATTGAAGAAACTAATGGAGGAAATTAAACAAAGTGACGAGATAATACTTTTTATTGATGAAGTGCATACTTTAATTGGAGCTGGAGCAGCTGAGGGGGCAATTGATGCTGCAAACATATTAAAACCAGCTCTTGCCAGAGGTGAACTACAGGTAATATTTTCCCTTGTCATGTTCAAAATGATATATTGCTGTTTCATTTTGTCCTCAAAATCAATATGTACAATGTGTTTGGGGGTGGGGGAAAGAATGGAGTTTGTGTTGCCCTTGAACTTTGTCAGTGAATAAAAAAAGATAAAAGACTTGTTCTCTTCTGTGTTGTTGGTTGGTCACATGTTTAGGGCTACTTTTGGAAGTCTATCTTTTAGAGAAAGGAATACCTAGTCTTCTTGTTGTTCAATGCTTTTCAATTGTAAATTGTTGAAATCTTGCGGTATTTGATATAGGTCTGCATAGGTGATTTATCAATATGAAATTCTGATAATTGATTATTTGCTTTTTGCATTAGTTGAATTAAATAATCTGGAATTTTCAATAAGTTTTGCAACGTTTATTTTAAAAAATAATGCATTTGCATTTTCAGCAGATCAATCTGGTCAATAGTATAAGATGCAGAATGTTACTGTAGACTAACTGTGAAACTTAAAGGCATCTGTTATGCTTTTGCTCAATCTATGACAATGCTCGTCTCTTAAGTTAATATATGCACTTACTGTTGCTTGGTTGGAACTTGGAGCAATTCTGAGAAATTGTGCCTAAATTTTTTTGCAGTGTATAGGAGCCACAACACTGGATGAATATAGGAAGCACATTGAAAAGGATCCAGCTCTGGAGAGGCGATTCCAGCCAGTTAAGGTGCCAGAGCCAACTGTGGATGAAACCATACAAATACTGAAAGGACTTAGAGAACGCTATGAGATTCACCACAAGCTCCGTTATACAGATGATGCTCTTATAGCTGCTGCACAGCTGTCACACCAATATATTAGGTATGTCATATTTAAAATTCTAAAGTTTTTCTGTTCATCTGTCTTTTCATTTATGCTGGAACAGACAATTTTTTTTTTTTTGATAAAATTTTTTTATGCTGCGGGAATCTTTTCAAGTGTATATTAATCTTCTGGGATTTATCTCTTTGAAATGTATTACATTATTTATATTTATACTTATTTTGGAACTCTAATATAGTTCTTTGTTATAAGTGAATTAAAATGCTTCTTATATCTTATTATTTTCTTCATGCTGTGTCTCTTAGTATTTTCTAGTTATATATATAATTTTATTTTTCTCCTGCAGTGATCGATTTTTGCCCGACAAAGCTATAGATTTAATTGATGAAGCTGGTTCCCGAGTCCGGCTTCAACATGCACAGGTATATTGTTCATCTACCTTCCCCAAACCAACAGTTGTTTTGTCTTTTACTGAGCTGATTTGGCTATATTTACATACTTCCAGTTACCTGAAGAAGCAAGAGAGCTTGACAAGGAGGTCAGGCAGATTGTGAAGGAGAAAGAAGAAGCTGTTCGCAATCAAGACTTTGAGAAGGTAATGCTTTAATCTAAGATTTGAATTCTTGAATTTTATCAATGATGAACTTTTTCAGGACACTAAACTACTTTTATCCAACAAGGCAATGTCATGTTTGTACTTTAAAAGTAAAAAGTAATGTTTTGGCTTATGTAAACAGATACAGTATAGGGCATCCCCCCTCTCCGTCAAAGCTGTTTTAAGTGAATTCTGTTTCTAGTTTGTTGACTTTAAAACAGTGTGGTGGTTTGTCCCTTGTTCAGTTACACCGATTATATCTTCAAATTATTTTAGTTGTTTGTGGGTTGATGATTCATGAGTTTCTGAATAGGCTGGAGAGTTACGAGATAGAGAAATGGATCTTAAGACACAGATATCAGCACTTATAGAAAAGGGCAAGGAGATGAGCAAGGCAGAGAGCGAGGCAGGAGATGGAGGTCCATCGGTGACTGAAGTTGACATACAACATATTGTCTCCTCCTGGACTGGTATTCCTGTGGAGAAAGTCTCAACTGACGAATCTGATCGCCTCCTCAAGATGGAAGAGACTTTACACAAGCGAGTCATTGGTCAGGATGAAGCAGTAAAAGCCATTAGCCGGGCTATCCGTCGAGCCAGGGTTGGACTGAAGAACCCTAATCGTCCAATTGCCAGCTTCATCTTTTCTGGGCCAACGGGTGTGGGTAAGTCTGAGTTGGCCAAAGCATTGGCTACATACTACTTTGGTTCGGAAGAAGCCATGATTCGGCTTGACATGAGTGAATTTATGGAAAGGCACACGGTCTCCAAACTCATAGGTTCACCTCCTGGATATGTTGGTTACACTGAGGGTGGCCAACTTACCGAGGCAGTTCGGCGTCGTACACGGTTGTACTGTTTGATGAGATTGAGAAAGCCCATCCTGATGTATTCAACATGATGCTTCAGATCCTTGAAGATGGAAGACTAACAGACAGCAAGGGAAGAACGGTGGACTTCAAGAACACTCTTCTTATAATGACATCAAATGTTGGAAGCAGTGTGATTGAGAAAGGAGGCCGTAAAATAGGATTCGACCTTGATTATGATGAGAAGGATAGCAGTTACAATCGAATCAAGAGCTTGGTGACTGAGGAGCTGAAGCAATACTTTAGGCCAGAATTCTTGAATAGATTGGATGAAATGATTGTTTTCAGGCAACTCACAAAGCTGGAGGTGAAGGAGATAGCTGACATAATGCTGAAGGAGGTGTTTGATAGACTGAAAGACAAAGAGATTGATCTTTCAGTGACAGAAAGATTTAGGGAGAGGGTGGTTGATGAAGGATACAATCCTAGTTATGGGGCTAGGCCTCTGAGAAGAGCCATAATGCGACTTTTGGAGGACAGCATGGCTGAGAAGATGCTTGCCAGAGAGATTAAAGAGGGTGACTCAGTTATAGTGGATGCTGATTCTGACGGTAATGTGATTGTGCTCAACGGGAGTAGTGGTGCCCCAGAGTCCCTAGCAGAAACTCTTCCTGTGTAACGTGTTTGCCTTTGCTGAGTTGTACTTTTTTTTTTTTTTTTTTTTCATTTAAAAACGTAGTTATAGTTTGTTTTTGTTGTCAAAGGACCTAAAGCTTTTTTTTATTGAATGCTGGTAGTCTCGGGCACGTTTTGACCAGAACCAACACAGCAAGGTTTGGGAGAAAGAAAAATGACGCTATGTCTGTCGGTCGTTCCTTGGATATGTTACATTAATCAATAATTTTAATTTGTTTAAAGCAAGAAATTTAAAGTTTTCACCGTTCTTCAGGCCAGCATGCGATGATGTTACATCTTAATTTTAGTAAGTTGGATTGAGAACAAATGTTTTGATATCACTTTGCCCCCATGGGTGACTTGATCAATTTTGAAATGCGTCTTTTGATTACAAAAAGAGTACAAATTATCCCAGTGAGATAATGCCTGATTTTGATCATACGAACTTGGGTCAGAGAATCGCAAATATATCCTAAAGGACCCGTTTGTTGGCCAATGGAGAAACTCTGTTACGAGAATTCTCATGCTCCAATGAACATATTTAAATGGGACAGCTGTTAGACCCCCCCACTCCCGAACCTATATTTCACTTACACTTCGTAGAATAAAAAAAACTAAATAAAAAACACCCTTTGGGTGATATTGGCTGTTATATTTTGTGATCCACTCAAATTTCTAACCTAATGATACTTGGTAGCGTAAAATCTATGGATTTGCTGTTTCTATTGATCTATTATTGGATGAGACGACCCTTGTGTGGGGCTTATCATTGGATGAGATGGGCTTATCATTGGATGAGATGGGCTTATTATTGGATGTGATGACCTTTGTGTGGGACTGACACTTCCACCACGGCTAATCTTCAATGCTGTTAATGCTTTCTGGATTTCCATAGTCATGGCACTATCTACACTCCCAGATGATAGCTTTCTGTGAGACTTCTGCAGATGTAGCTTGAGTGAGCTGCTGCTTAGTCCAGCATTCTTCCCACAGATGGGGCAGACTTTCATCATCGGTTTCCGTTGATACCATTCCATCGAAACCTTTCCATGTAGTTTCAGATCAAGTTCCAGCAAGATCTTTGCAAAACCGTCGTTAGGTTGTGCTCGACGGTGTACTCGTTTCAGAGCTTGCCATGCTTCTAACAAAGTATACTTCCTGCAAAAGAAAAGCTTTGAGTTCAAAACCTGTTGAAACTATCACTGACTAGGAGTAGTAACCTTACATTTCAAACAACGTGAACTTATGGTAGCCAGGCGGTGAATTAGATTGTTTCATACCATTTAATCATGGAAGAATTGATGAGTATACTAAAAGTTTCTTTGGATACAAACTTATAAGTTTTTTTAAAAGTTTATCTATTATAGAGAAGTTCTTAAAAGTATTTTTAATTTGTATCCAAATAAACTCTGATATATATATATATATATATATATATATGTGTCTTATATATATATATTATGTTATGTTTTCTTCTAATTAAAATTAAAGTTTTTAGTACTTGTGGTGATGAACATATCAGCTATTAAAAATCATTTCATTCTGTACTAGAAATATATCTCATACAATTTTCATTTTTTACTTACTTCCTGAGCATTAAGTAAGCGAGAACCAACGTGACACTTCTGCTTCTGCCCTCAAAGCAATGAACTAAAACTTTTTGACCCGTTTGTTCAACATCATCTATAAAATCACATGCTTCGTCAAATATGCTGCTGATGTTATAATCATCACTGTCACATACCTGTTCAAATGGGACAAATGAATACAATCCATATGAAGACATGTTCCTTTAACGTAATATTAAAAGTAAATTTTAACAGAAAACAATATATTATAAAACCCAGAAGAACAAGAATGCATCACATCATATTGGATAGCAAATTTTGAGGCTAGCCTTAACTATTTATTTCTTTTGAGCAAGGTTGACATTTTTCTGGGTCACAATAAACTATCGGTCAAGGGAGATCAGAACATACCGACAATTTAAAAACACACAAAAAAAAGAGGATAGCCAAGCAAGATGTACCTTGTCAGTTTCTCGAGCCCATCATTTGTAAATCAGAAGGATTAGGGATATTTTGACTAAGGTGGATTCTCAATCCAAATCAGAGATAGAAAGCATTAACGGGTTTGCACCTAACAAATCAAGCATTGGGTTGGGATGATTGATCAATCGTGTAACTCTTGCCACGTTGGTTTAAATTTCAGCACAAGGTAAGACAAACATCATTGTTTTGTCCATGCTTAGAGCAGAAAGATCATTCAAATTTGGGGGTGTTGGAGGAAAATAACATTTAGGGCATGCACCTAAGAGCTTAAACTTTCAGGATGACTGGTAGTTGACATTAGTCATTAGAAAATCAGTAAGTTATTAAAGTGAGAAATGAGCACGAGCATAAGGTTCCAATGAAAATTAACTTGATTAATCCTAAACGAAGATTTGATGGATAATTAATGAAGCAAAGTTGATAGATTAGGTGAGGCTCAACTGATTCTCGAATAAAATAAATTTCAGCAAATAAGATGATAGACTAGGTGAGGGTAAAAAAAAAAAAGTAAATATGACTTACAGAGAAATTCTTGTACTCAAATAGATCATGATACTGAGTTTCTGACTGTCCAATTTCATTGGTACACAAACACAAAATGTTTGTGATTCCCAAGTATTGCAATGTGTATACAGATCTTGCAGCCAGTGCTCCACCAATGAACAGACTACTTGTCACTGCTGAAGGTTTCTCAGTACTTGCTGCGTCTGATATCAATGCAATTCTCTCGAGAATATGCTCAAGTCTGACCTGAAAATTAAAAGGATAATGCATCATGAATGGAAACCCTCATAAATGAAAGGAATCTATTATATTTTAGCTTTGAATGTAATAAAGTGAAAGTAACCTTAAGTTCATATGCATCAACAACACTGTTATTATCACTACCCTCAAAAAATCCTGGATTGAAATTGTTCTCCTGGCATAGTTTAATAGCATCACTTTTAAGCATTTCATTCCACTGTTCCAATTCTTTATTGGATTCAGCATCAACCTGGAAAACATGATACAGAATAAAAAAGTGAAAAAAAAAAAAAAGGAACAAGCACGGTAAAAGTACTGTTTTATATGCTAAAGAAACAGAAAATTAGATTGCTCCCTAGTCTTATATTCCTATTTGCCAATCACCTTGGGACACAGGACTACACGAGTATGAGATTAGCACATGCATACAAGAGGGAGGGGGGAATGGAACTGTTTGTCATGATTAAAAAAAAAAAAGTATTTCCAATGTTTCCGTAACAGGCAACCTTCTGGAAAATGGATCCCCTGACTTTGTGGAGGGAAAGTTAGGGTAACTTAATACATTTCAACCGTTAGATTTGTAATAAATGATCAGATTGTGACACGTGTACACGTGTCACAATCTGATTTATTTTTATACATTTAACGGTTGAGATGTATTAAGTTACCATAACTTTATTTTCCCAAAGTCAGAGAATCCGGATCCCAACCTTCTGGTCTATGACATAGTGTAATCAATCATATCAGATAGACAATAAGGTAACAGAGAAATGACATACATAATCAAAATAAGAATTGTGGAAACTGATTCAGCAAAATCTGTGCTCTCAGTTATACCATGAAAGAAACAAGAGCACATTATTGTGAGAATTATAAGTATTGTCCGCATTGGTTAATTTCATATTTAGAAATGCAATAAAATCCAATAGTTTTGCATTATTAAAGCAATATGCTACTGACTGATTATTTATGATCAGCGTCAAAAGTTGTCAAACTGAAATGGTGCCAAAATAAAAAATTTCATGGAAAAATTGTGCCAAAACAATTCAGATTACTCCAAGAGCAGCACCGAAATCACAAGTAGACAAGGTTATGCTACCTATGACACCAACCTTGGCAAATTTATGGAAGTCTCGGAGCTTAGCAGTCAAGCGGAGACTACGAAGTGGTTCCCCATATCCTTTATAGAACTTTCCATGCCAACTTTCTCTTGACATAGGAGTAGAGTCACTGCAATCTCTATTGCCGGAAGATGATCCCCTTAAAGCAGCTCTATGTGATTCTGAGTCAATAAAATCATGATGGTTATCATTAGCAAGCCTTTCCTTACATGTTGGAGAGGAACAACTCCCGCCAGCAGCCAGTGAAGGTGAGTCAGGAACCAAAGAATCTTCTTTATCAGATTCTCCCGAAGATATTTTACTTATAATGTTCATAAACAATCGTAACAAAGTCTCAAGTCTTTGGTGAAGTGTGAGTAGGAATATATGAAATCCCTGAAGATCCCTAAGTGCACCACGGAAACCATTACGGAATGCATGAACTACATGCATCGTGTCACTTGCATGTACATCAGTTTTATCCACGTCTTCTGGTGGGGGACATCCTAATTTTCCTCCAGTTATATCATGTATCAGGTTTGAAGCAAATTCAGAACTATTGATTAGCAACTCAATCAACTTGGGGTAATTAACCTGATCGTTTGCACGTTTTCCAACAGGGGGACGCCGAGGAACACCAGAATCAATGGCTACTATGTTAAAGTCAGAAGACATTGATTCTTCTGAAGTTTGACTAGCAAGGCTCATGTCAGCAGATCTTGGTGATTCTGCAATCTCTGAAAGATCAGAGGATTGTGATATTAAGGTGGGATTATGAGAATTGAGTCTGCAATCTACTGAAGTTGACCTTCTTTCTTTCTGAAGTGCCCTGATCACCTTTGGTCTATATCGGTTAATTGCAGAATCAAAAGCTGCTTCTATCGAATCTGTATTTGCACAGATAGTCTTTTCAGCCAACAACAAATTTGCTGGGTTCCCACGCCATCTAAGCTCACGGCAAGGCAGTCTATCTTCGTTTCTGATGACAAGGTCCAGCATGAGTACCCTGCCAAGAGCTTCTGATGTTCTTTCTGCATATTCCCTTGACTCAAATGCACTTGTGTTTTCAAGCAAGGGTGAACCGTGTACATAACTGCAAGAAGATGTGAATCTTTAGAATTAACTATCAAAATGTATTGAAGAACAGTCATGTGCTTTTTCTGTTGCTGTACTATAGGATGTAGATAGCCTCTTTTTCCCATTTAATATAACACTAAGATGAACAATGATAGGCATTGACATATTCATAGAAACAAGGGTTGTCTAAGATTATTTTCTTTTTCTAGAGATGACCATATTAATGGCTTTCATTGTCTTTTCTAGGGATTAGTGACAGCAGG